AATTATGAATGCTCCATTGGTATATTATGTATATAAGTATATCAGCTTCACCCGCCAACAAACTGCATAGAAGCAAAATATGATGTTGGGTTTAGAATGGTTTTATTTAACCTGTCAAATAGTTAGTAGACGACTAATTATAAGGGGCAGGTCATTATGTAGATTGTGCAAATAGGGGGGTGGGACACCAGTTGTTATGCAGGCATAAATAAAGGGTGGTGGCATATATATATATGTTATTTACAGGCCAGGAGGTCCAGATAGGGAAAAACTGTGCCCGAGGTCTTGAATATGCGGACAGTTTTCAAGACCGCGGGCACAGTTTTTCCCTATCCGAACTGACTATAGGACGGTAAATAACTTATTTATTTTTTTCCCCTATTTTTTTACTTGTTTTTGTAATCGTTTTGTTTTGTTGATACTGACAAAATACCGCCCGCTGAAACAGCCAATCAGAACGCACAATTTTTTAGGAAAAAAAAATACTGATGTGACTAAAAGTATGTGTGTATACATGTAGGCTTGTATCATGTCACCTGTCTAGTTCTTCACAACAGTTTAATTTTTGGAAGCTTAATAAATAAATAAATATAATATAATATAATAATATAAATATAAATATTTATATACACATTTTTACCATAAATAGGTGAGCTTCCAAGCATTCTGACAGCTAAATGAAGTCGGGACCCCCATTTTTTATTTGCAAATTTATCATGCAAAATGTTTAAAAAATTTGATGTTAGAATCTTTTGCCCATGAACGTCCTTAAGTGCAAAATAAATTGAATGTAAAAACTCTCAGGTCTGCGAGCTACTACAAGTATTTATTACATTGCATTAATGTGGTATTTATTTTAGGGAGAAATGGGAGAGAATTCTGGAGTTGGTGAATTGTCAGATCATAAGTGTGACAAAGAATGAGGAAATGACTGCATATCTTTTGAGGTAATCTTTAAATGTACATCACCATCACCTCAATCATTACAATCATCATCACAATCATCATCACCATCACTGTCATTATAATCATAGCTATTAGCACCATCACGATCATTACCATGATCATCACAATCATCATTATCATCACCATCACTGTCATTATAATCATAGCTATTAGCACCATATCACGATCATTATCATCATCATCACCATCACAATCATCATTATCATCACCATCACTGTCATTATAATCATAGCTATTAGCACCATCACGATCATCACTATCATCATCATCATAGCTATTAGCACCATCACGATCATTACCATCATCATCATCATCATCATCATCATCATCACAATCATTATAATCACCGTCACTGTCAATATAATCATAACTATTAGCACCATCACGATCATCACGATCATCATCGCAATCATCATGCTCACCATCACTGGCAATATAATCATACCTAGTAGCACCATCATGATCATTACRGTACCATCATCATCATCATCATCTACAGTAGAATATAATACCCTTCAAGCATATTAAGCAACAAGTAACATGCAACAAAACYTTCACCATTTACCTTTTTAAAATAGCTGTAATATGAGGGTGTTTCTTGATGTAATTAATTTTTAATCTTGGCTAGTGAGAGTAGCATGTTTGTATCCAAGACACGGGTGATCCTCAAAACATGTGGTCAGACGACGCTACTGTACAGTATTAAACCAATGATGAGCATGGTTAAAGAGGAATGTGGACTGACAGAGATTCAGGTAAAATTAAGGCATTTGAAATCAAAGAATAAATGATAAAGTAATGGTAAATATATGTCTTCCATTCGGAGGTGGATGGGTGGGCATGGGGTCACATATCAAAACAGCAGGGGTAATGATAAATCATACACAAGTATTTAGTGGTACAGTATGTTGATTAGAGGACTGATATTGTGCTTGTTGGAAATTTTCCAACATTCTCCCTCAAGGTCCCAGAATTTTACTCATCATTGCTCAAGAGAATTTCACCTCTAAATTGTGCCTGAGGTAGATCACTTGAAACTTGTGCTTCTTTCTCTTCACATCTTTTGTGATGGCACTTCCTGCATGATGTCTGCACAGAGCACAGAAAAGGCTGTCCTTATTTAGAAAATGCTGATATTGCATGGCATGACATCAACCCCAACACATGCATAGCAGTATTTTGTGTCTGAATATTTTCTAGAAATATTTAAAGTCTAACCAACCATATTTTGACAGRTTTGTGTTTGTTGAACCACAGGATTTTTTCTACTCCAGAATGAGCTTCCTTGAGCCAAAGCTGCAGCATGCTCCACACCAGTCATTTGACCAAGAGGTATCTTGCATAAATATAATTTTAAACTTGAACATAGAGTTTCTCAAGTTGTGATTGGTCAAGTGACCAGTGATATGATTCTGAGAAGATAATCGCCGCTGGAGCGATGACTATGAGGTTTTCCAAAATTTTCCAGATCTGAAGTAATATTAAAACGTTTTTTTTAAAATCCTAAATTTCAACTTTTCTCTGATATTCAAGTCTAAAATTTATACTAAAACGATTATTCCCCTCGGGCTCAGTGTAATTATGGTGAATATTTACCTCGCTGCTTGAAGACTCGCGGCTCGGTAAATATTCCACCACCAATAATCACTTTGCCTTTGGCAAATAATTGTTAATTAACACTTGATTATTATTGACAATAAAATGGTGCATTGTTTTAAAGGGAATTAACGGAATTAAGGGAATTAAATGGTTCCACAGAGTGGATCTTTTTCCACAGCTGGAATCCGATTGCAATTTAGAAGTTGATTTTTGTGGAGGGAGTAAAACTGTAGAACGTCCCAGAGAAAAATCTTCAATTACAACACTGAGGCCGGTGGGTCTTGGAATGGGTCTCTTTGGTGAGAATTCAGCTCTCTCACAGCTACACCAACCATGCTACCATGCTTCYCGCATGGTTATATTGCACTCCCCTAGATCAATCTACTAGGTCCTTACAGACTTACAAATCTGTAGTACCTTTTGTTTTTAGAATGCATAAATAGTAATTTTGTGTAACATCCAACTTACTCCTACACCTCCCACTTCCCCTGTACTTATTTAATTGCAATGTCGTTATTGGTTGGTAAACACCAAATGGTAAGGGTGGCTGCAGCTGTAAAACTTTGGATTTTTAGTGGTCACTGTATGTCTGGGTCTGTTTGTCAGTTTGAGTCCTGCAGATGGCACATGTGAATAGAGTTTGTTTGTGTGTTGTTGTCTCCCTTACGTTACCATAAGGGTTATTCTCAAAGGTTTTCTGATTGTTATTGTGAGTTGAGAGTTTTGTGCTTAAAATATTAAATGTAGTGGTAGGGTTATTCTCAAAGGTTTTCTGATTGTTATTGTGAGTTGAGAGTTTTGTGCTTAAAATATTAAATGTAGTG